TTATATATATATATATGTATATATGGAAAGTTGATATGAATGTTTTTCTATTCGGATATTTCCTTACTTTTAACAAAAGGCTTGTGCAGCGTTACTTCAGAATTTGAATTAGATAACTGTGGAAGCTCAACAGTACAAATATTTGTATTTACAGAATTTGTAGGATCAGAACATATCCTGGAAGTTGATTGAGATATATGAGGTAATGGTTTCGATTTCTCTTGTATAGAAGCAGGAGTGCAGATAGGTGATTTACATCCTGATAACATTGTCCTCTGTACAGGAACTATATAAAAAATTGTATGAAAAATTAAAATTTTATAAATACTTATTTCTATAATTTAATAATGATTATTTTTAATTTACTTGGCATATATTACTAACTTACTAAAATTTATATAATATAATTGATAAGCCATACACACACATGTAAAAGAGTGGTTCAACTTCTGTCTAGAGTTTCAGTAATAGGATGAAACTGTATGTATTAAACGTTTTCTTCTCTATGTACCCCTCTACACACTGATACTTTCTACTATTGTTTTGGCAGAAATGCTATGCCAAAAGAATAGAAATCTTTTTGCTGATGAAAAATACAGTGGGGTCAATCAATGAACTAGGACAGAAGCTCAAATAGCTATTAAGTAGCTATTTGAGCTGCTATCCTAATATACTAATAATAAATACATCCATACATAAGCAAAACAAAAATTCATAGTAAATTAAAGAGAAAAAACGCAATTTGCCACTGCATAGAAAAAAAGAAAGAAAATTTTATATTCCTGGCACCACAGATTACTGCTATATCAAAGAATTTTTGGATCATCTGATATTTATAAGTATAAATCTGCATTTAAACAAAAATATCATTATATATATGCCTTTTTAATCATACAACATGAATATTATCAAATATATTTAATAAATTCTTCAGTTTCTGATAATTTATGTTTCACAAGTACTGTATATTTGCTATGATACTTGCTACCATTATTCAAATGAAATATTATCATGTTGTTACATTAATGTTACTGCAAGACTTCTTATACTTTTTAGATATTAATAGAAAATTTTTAGCATATAAAATGTACTACTTGGTTTACTGCAGTTTCAGCAAAAATTCCAGAAAATATTTTTATGTTTTGTATTTTCATATTTCTGTTGTATTTTAAAAAGGCATAATTCTGATTACATTGTCATCATTAGCTAAATTGAATACAATGATATCTCAGTACTCAAACTACTCCCAACTCAAACAATTCAGTTTTCAAATGCGTGCTTGTGGGGAGGAGGGAGTCATTCGGTAGTCGACTGTTTGCTCAATACAAACACAACCTGCTCAGAAGATATTATAATAAGCAACTCAACATCATCCATACACTTTCCAGCAAAAAATATATTATACACTGTATATAATATATCAGTAGATAGGCATTATCTAATCAAGGAAAAAACAATTAGACAAAAAAGATTATGCTTTCTTCCTGGACAATTCAGTTTTACTGAAAAAGCCAGGGCACAGCTGGAGTTCATTGGGTGATATAGAAAGGAAAGCTAACCAAAGTTGACAGCTAGAATTCTCTCTTTTCATTTGCCAGCGACTCCAATGAGGGACAGTATAAATAAAACCATTAAGGCATGACAGACAAAGTTTTTGTTAATCCTAAAAGTATTCATACCTGGAAACTAATCAGCAAGGGAACTACAGATGAAGGACAGACAGTGTGTGCAGTGAGAGCTCAACAAGTTCATGTTTGTGAAATAAAGTTGGCTGAAAGAAAGCCTTATAACTAACAGGATTAACCAAAATACAATAACAATAAAATAAAGTTAACATTCTATCTAAGAGGTTAGGTGAAAGGGGAAAAAAATACTACCAAGTAAAGGAATTATTATATACAATGGACAGGTCAACACAAAGACAGTAAGGAAGATGACAATCCAAAAATTGGAGCTTCCAAAACATAGGAAAATAATAATATTGTTAGTATAGCAGTGGCATATTGTCATTGGAAGCAATGGATGTTCCGCTTCCCTTGTGTTTTCAAAAAAATAAATACATATTAATTTTAATTATATGAAAATAGTCGCGCAAGATTTTATTATAACCGCATCATGTATCTTATTACAAATTTCTATATTACATGTGAAAAAAAAAAAGATTGTTATTGTATATTCGAATATTAGTGGCGGAGTGGAAGTGCTGTATTATCAGCATCCAAAAACCCAGATTCGTGCATGCGCTTTACAGAGCACCAACATCACCCAGTTTAGCTGGTGGAAGCCTAGGGTCTTGGGTGGATGCTACACGTATACTGCATCCAATTCTATCCAGGACCGGTTCTGGGCTGTTAGCCGCCTGCCTGCTAGATATTTGACCGCCCTCGCTCGATTACGTGAATCGCGAGTAGATTTATAACTTAACCCAACCGATAAGAATTTACTGGTATGTTTTTACGATAGTTCTGTATAGTTGACAGGAGTTTTAAAAAATCCATTAAAATATTTGATATTTTTAGTCTGCTCTCCTATTTTATATTACTTACTGATTTCAATGTTAAACCAGTGATATTACGATTTCGTGTGTCCATCTCTAAGGGGATGTAGAAAAAAACATGTATAATTCTTGTATAATGTTAAAAAATTAACTGTTACTTTGACAGCATCATTTACAACTAAATTTAATGAATGAGAGAGATGCATGAGGCACAGAAAAAGCTCTATAATTTATTTTCCTTAAATTTACGATTTATGTATCCTGTTGTCATAAAAATTTGTCATTCCACTTTTTCCCTGAGACTACAAATATTCAAGTACAAAGTAACCGATTTTGACTTATTTCTACTTAAGAAGTAGTTAATTTAAATAATTAAGAGATTAGGGAATTAGGGACATAAATAAAACCCTGCTGAAAGAGCCGGAATTTTACTTAAACAAAAGCTTAACCGAACCAATCTCTAGCCGAGTGCAGTAGGGACTGATTTCTTCATAATATTGAATGTAATAAAGACAGAAATTTTTCCAGTTCAACAAGAGTGACTGAAAAGTTGTAAATTTTGGAAATTTCTGAGGACACTTGGTCCTAAAATGAATTAGTTAGAAAACAAATGACTATTAAGTTTAACATATTTAGATTTTTACAGCTATGGTGAGAAACGTTTAAAATTTACAACAACCCTGTTGTGTCCTTTGAGATATACTAGTGATGCAACAAAAGAGGCATTTGACATTAACCAGTATTGGCACCCTCGGGATTTGGCAGTCCGCGTGCATGCACGCACCGCACACCTAGCAGGACCATCTCTGATTCCACTCGTAGGGAGCTATTTGACTAAGTGGTTAAGATTTAAAAAGTAAAGAATATTTGATATTTTCATGTACGTTTCTTTACAAAGCTATATTTAATTAAAATTATCTTTAAAAGTATATTCATACAATTGAAGAATCTTTTGTACCAGGTATGTATATCCAGCACATTATATTTTATTTCACCAAGTAAGTTTTTATTATTTTATTTATAATTTTAGCACTTATATCATGGATAGCAATTCAGAATGTAATTGTGATATTGAAAATTTATTTTTAAAAAGTTTTGGCTCAAGACCATATAATGAAAAAGAAAACATTATTAAAAGAGAAAGGTCAATGCCTAAGTTAAATATAAACACTTCAATAAAAAATTTGTTCAACATTTTTACGATAAAATGGCTCTGTAAATGCATAAAAATGCAAAAATTGTTTTGTTGGCTTGCCTGCTGTTTTGAAATGAAATTAATGTGTGGAATAAGAATGGCTTTGACAATTTAGCTGGCAAAAGACATGAAAAATCATCGCTTCTTTTGTATTTGAAGCAATTTGGAAATCAAAGCGGAATAGAATTTAACATTAATAAATAATTTTTTTTTTTTCTTTTTGAAACTGTGTCCTGTTTTATATTTGTGGCGTAGTAAACACTAGTATTGTGTTTTATTCCAAAGACACATGGCAAATTTTCCATCAAATTCCTTTATTAGTTGATACGGTACATTGTTTAGTACAGTAGAACCTCGAAAACTCGTCCCTCGATAACTTAGCACTCCGGATAACTGGTCCACACCTTCGCAGGGCGAAAAAATCCTTAGTTAATTAATTTTCATTATAGACAGCTTTATAAAAGTATAAAAGCTCTCGTAAAGTATTTTTCTGAGGTCTGTCTTATCAGGTAAATTACTGTACACAGTGTATTCATTAATTTTCATTTTCATGTAGTGGCTCTATGCCTTCATAAAGGACGTACTTTTCCTTTGTTTAAGGGTATTTGGGCAGTTTATTCTCTGTTATATTCTGTACAAGTAAATACTGTACAAGTACAGTACAGTATTTTCTGAGGAAATACTCGTACTTATTTTTTTTAACCCCATTCCCGATAACTCGGCATTTTCACAAACTCGGCCACCCTTCGGTCCACATTAGGTCGAGTTTTCGAGGTTCTACTGTAT